CACACCCTCAGCAACACTGACAGGGCAAGCTACTGTATATAAACAGGGAGCAAACCCCATACTCACTAGCACTGATGATGTTACAGTAATGAAACATCTGCAAGCAAACAACCAAACTCAGAGAGCACCAAAGAACTCCACAGTTCAACCCTGAGCCACATATATTCTATTGGAACATAATTCCTTTCAACTACATGTTTTCCCACCGTTCCAACAATATGTTATACCAAAGTTCTTAGCCCATTTTATCATACACTCTTTTACTTGTTCTTCCTCCATTTCAGATTTCAGCAAAAGTTTATACATTTTAGGAATTACATGTTCATCATTTGCACATAATTCAACTTCAGTTTCTGTCTTCTGTTCAATTCCAAATGTCCTGTTACCTATCTTAAATCTTTCTCTTAAATATGCATACAAAAACCATTGAAAACTAAATCCCTCTACGGCCAGTTGTTCTCTTGGTTTCATCTTACATTCTCTATGCTCTTGTTTTAACATCTCTTGTTAAGTTAGCCATTTCTCTTTACCTACTGTTTCTTTCCTATAAAATACTTCTTGTACTGAGACCCATAAAGGCATTTCAGGCAGTCTTGGTTTATATCTATTCCATATTCTCAAAATGGCACTCTTAAAAAAGTGATTTTTAAAATGTACATTAGCCTTAACTATCATACCATAGAAAACCATGTCATTCCAAACCTCAGATTGTGCCTTCTAGTTCTAAAATTCTTTTATTTCATGAATGTTAATTGATATTATTACCTTTTAAAATGGCATTATATTTCTTAGCTATCTTTAAACACTTTAAGTAACATTACATTACTTATTTTGTTTTCAGTTAAAATATTTCATTTGTTATGAGGTAAGCAATAACTATTGCCTTAATATTTCAGAAGAGAAAACACTGCAGAGGCCTTACCAGAGGGATTTTTTGATGATCCAGAAGTGGATGCAAAGGCAAGTATTATTTCTAATTGTTTCAGCTCATATCAGTTCTTTGAGGAACCAGCACATTTTAGTGGCTAGACTAAAGTCATGTTCACCTTCAGCCATAGAAACTGACTAGGTAATTTTGGCCAGTCACATACTCTGTGTCTCACTTACCTCACAGGTTGTATTATTGTTGTGGGGATAAAATAAAGCAAGATCCCCATGGAAGCCCCCTTGAGATCTCAGAGAAAAGGCAGGACATAAATCTAACAAGCAAACAAATAAATGAACAATCCAACTAGCTCTGGTTACAGTAATGATGTATTTATCCATACAATTTTTGAAATGCTTCTTTGTGTCTTGATTGATATTGTAAAGTTAATTGATACTGTACATATTGTTATTGATATAGTAAAACCTGAGTAGTTTTCTGTAGATCTAATTTTCTGTAAGCTAATGTTGAATGCCTTTTATGGTATGTTCATTGAAACTGCAACAGTTAGAATGGAATGGAGCAGTTATACATGGTTCAAAATTGGGAAGGAAGTATGCCAAGGTTATATGTTGTCTCCTTTTAATTTAGATGAAGAATATGTAATGAGAAATGCTGGAAATATTGCTGGGAGAAACTTCAGCATCCTCAGATATGCTGATGGTATCATTATGATTGCCAGAAGCAAGGGAGACTTCAGGTGTTGAATGTGAAAGAAGAGAGCACAAAAGCCAGTCTGCTGCTCAAAATTAACAAAAAACAAGATTATCTCAACAGGCAAGGCCAGTCCAGTACAAATAGCATACTAATGGTACTCAGCTCCAAATTTCTTGATGATCTCTTCCATTGGTTTAATGCAGATACGGAAAAGCAGAAAGCTATTACTTAGCTCACTGAATATTTTGGCAGGGCCAAGACTCCTGTTTTTGACAATTCAGTTGCTTTTCCCACATTTGGAATAGGTTGGAAAAAGATTCAAATTTGATCCAAGCGCTTACAAAAAAGTTAACATTATGGGACAACCCAATCCTTAAGGTTGCTGGCAAATCATTCTTTTGGGCACAAAAAGACATTATTAGCTTAGCTTACTGCTTATTTTTTATTGCTAATGAGTTTTTCAAAATGTTTGATGTTTTGCAAAAACAATTTGGACTATTAAAGATTGCTCAGTGGCAATATATTGAGCAGTTAAATTATTTCTTGACTGTTCCATTTGGGCATGATAATTAGCTGTGAAGTTCTTAAATTAGTAATATAACTAGAAAAATTCCTAAATGTACAGTTAAATTTTATGTACTGTTTTAAAGTTGTCTTACCTTTACAAGTACAACATTAGTATACTTATATCTTTTCACCCTGAGCCAGCCAAGTGAGTCTGTTGAGGTTCTGTCCCAGTATCTGGAGGCTGTTCGGGTCTGGATGGGAAGGAACCGTTTCCAACTGAATCCTACAAAGACCAAGTGATTGTGGATGTTTGGGCCACCCAGATCTGGGGATATTCCATCTTGGATGGAGTAGCACTTCTCTGTTCAAGAGTGGCGTGCAATCTGGAGGTCTTCCTAAACAGCTCCTGCTTAATGAACAAATGGCTGCTGTGGCCAGGAAGGCCTTTGCACAGCTCCATCTGATGTGCAAGTTGTGTCATTTCCTAGATTGGGAGATTGTTCAGACAGTCACTTAAAGCCCTGGTCATTGGTGACTTGAATAGTGCATCATGCTCTACATTGGGCTGCTCTTGAAAATCACCCAGAAGCTTCAGCTGGTCCAGAATGGAACAGTGCTGGCAGTGACGGGCATGCCTCAATATGCCTATGTAACACTCCTATTTTGTGAGCTGTACTCCTTGCCAGTTTGCTTTTGGATGTGGTTCAAGGTGCTGGTCATTACCTATAAACCCTTACCTGGCATAATGCCTGGTTACTTAAGGGACTGCCTACCTCTCATAATATCTGCCTGGCCAGTTTGATCCAGCAGTGTTGGAATTCTCTGAATTGCTTCATTTAAACAATGCAACCTGTTGGGACTCTGGAAGCATGCCTTCTCTCTCGCAGGGCTTGCCCTCTGGAATGAGGTTCCATGAGATCCTTGCTGGTGTTTTGATGGGTCTGGGAGACCCGCCTCTTTGCTCAAGTCTTTGGCTAGGATGGGTGTACCCCTTTCCAAGGAGTGTGTTTTGTTGCTGCCCAGGTTTTTTGCCATCTTGTTTTTTTACTATTGTACAATTGTATTGTGTTTTTTCCCCCCTTTATTTTATTTGTGAACTGCCCAGAGTTGTTGGGCGGTGTACCAGTTTAATAAATACTAATAATTTTATTTATGTATTTATTGATTTGGTGTCTTTGAGATAATGTTGAGTACTGGCAACTACTTGGATCAGTCCCTGGATAATTTGCAAGTAATTTAGAAAAATGAGTTGCCATATACTGTTTTAATAAATCAGAAGGCTAGGGTTTTAAAGAATGAGGGTTGAATGAAAATTTATGCCTCCAGTGTTATAAGTTGCCAAAATATGGTAGTATTGATGTGCTAGAAGCTTTGATGTATTTTCTAGTACTTGTTCTTTCACTTCAGTTGGAGGGAAATTGGACTGAAAACAGATGGAAGTAGGGAAGTTGCAGTGAGTACTTGTCAGTGCTTTCTAAGCAATGCACCATGATTGCATTTTTGACTGCCAAAGGAGTGCCTCCAATTGAAAATTCACCACTGAATGCAAATTGTTTATGGTGATGACTGTGTTGATGTGAGTATTGTGCATCTGGGCCAAAAAATGTAAAAATAGTGAACTGGAAAGTGCTGATTTGCATGCTCAAGAAGAAAGTGGACAACCTATGATAGCAATTGACAAGTTTCATATGACAAAGTTTGATGAACCAGTTAGTGAGACACTTTGGTTGATCACTCAAAGAGAAAGTGCTGTCCAGCTGACAATTTTACAGGAATGTGTGGGTCACTTTATTGATATTCTCCTATATAAGAAGGTTGTGGAAGGAGGGTTCCCTGAATGCTGATGAGAGGTGAAGCCTACAAGAGTTGAAATTTGCTAGCAATTGTTGTCAAGCTACAAGAATGAAAGTGAGGAATTTATTCACAAAATTGTCATAGCTGATGAAATATGGGCTCATCATGATCCAGAAACAAAGTATCAGTCCATGAACTGTTATCAGAAAGCTTAATATGTGGAAAAGAAATTCAGAACTGAAGCATCAGGAAAAAAAACTCTCATGCTTGCAGTTTTTGGAGCACAGATGGTGTTATTCACATGGATTTCCTTGAACCTGGCACCACTGTCAACTCATTGTAACACTCAAAACTGAAACAATGATTAAGCAGCGTTTGGAAGCACAAGAAGGAAATTTTGCTGCAACATTACAATGCTAGGCCTCACATCTCATTAAAACCCAAGAGGCATTTGCAAAGTTGTATCTCACTATCTTAAACCCATCTGGCACATAGTCCAGACTTGGTACCATGCAACTTCCATGTTTTTGCAAAATTGAAGAATGCCTTCATAAGCATCTTTTTAATGAAAGGGGTGGAAAGGATGAAGGATCTGGTTGAAAAAAGAAAATGTGGAGTTCTTTTGTATCTTTAAGAAGGTTGTCCATCATTGGCAGAAGTGTGTAATGAATGGTGGTCATTATGTGGAAAAGGAAAAGTAACAAAAGAGCTCATTACAAGGATTATTTTCCTGTTTCATTTACAGACAGTCCCCTACTTATGAACTTTCGAGTTGTGACCTTTCACCTATACAAACAAGATGGACCCAAAAGTCGGGAAAAGGCAGGAAAGTTTCTGGTACGCCACAAACTAACCCTTTCCCGCTTTCTCCCGCCTTCTGGAAGGTTGGAGGTTTGCACTGGAGTTGGAGTTCCTGGAAAGGGTTAGTTTACCGGGTGAAGCAGGAGAGGTGGCAGTGGCTCCCTGTGCAAAGGGACAAGCCAGTGGGGCACGGCATGCTCTGTCACCAGATGAGTCAGGAGAGGTGGCTGTGTTCCCTGGGCGAAGGGATGAGTCAGTGGGGCGTGGCACACTCCATCGCTGGGTGAGGCAGGCAAGGCAGTGGTGGCTCCCGCATAACTGCTCCCTTCACCCAGGGAGCCACCGCCACCTCTCCTGCTTCACCCAGTAAACGAACCCTTTCCAGGAACTCCAACTCCAATGCAAACCTCCAGCCTCCCATATGTAGTGCACCAGAAACTGACCCTTTCCTGCCTTCTCCCGCCTTCCAGCAGATTGGAGGTTTATGTTGGAGTTTACAGCGCACGTTGGAGAGTGCACTCTTCAGCCTTCCTCCTGCAAGGGCCAGCAGTTTCCAATACAAGCTGCAGAGTGCACGCTTTGCCTGTGCTCATCCTTCTGCTTCCTCCAGTTCTGCCACCACCCTGAACAGTGCCTCCCGCACAGCTGCCCTCTTCACCTAGGGAGCCACCACTGCCTCTCCTGTCTCGCCTGGCAACAGAGTGTGCCGCACCCCACTGGCTCATCCCACTGTACTCTCCACAGTCTGTGTGCTATTGCTTCTCACATTGGCAGCAGAAAATAGGGCTCCTCTGCCTACACTGCTGCCCTGCTTCCTGCCTCCTCTTTTTTTTTTTTTTTTTTTTTTTTTTTTTTTTTTTTTTTTTTTTTTTTTTTTTTTTTTTTTTTTTTTTTTTTTTTTTTTTTTTTTTTTTTTTTTTTTTTTTTTTTACTTTTTACAGTACTTTTTGCTTGATTTGACTTATGAACAAAATGGACTTATGAACAGCCACTTGGAACGTAACCTGTTTGTAAGTAGGGGACTGTCTGTATTAAAATATCTTTATTTAAAGTGAAACTATGGAGGTGGAGGCTTTACTTTTCAACCCTTGTATATTGCTAAATATTATTTTGAGGAAAGAATAAATGCAGAAAACAAGTAGAATCACTGCATTATTTAGCCTGAAGTATCATGTATTCTGCCAAGAAAACTGCAGGGACCTGTCCAGGCAGTTTCTGAGAATTGGGCACGATTGAACAGATTTAAAAAAATCATGTATTCAGGAAAGGTTTTACTAACTGTCTTATCACTTTCAGGACAATGAAGTTGCTAATTTGCAAACTTGACTTTCACTCCTTACCTTTTTTATCTGATCCATAAAACTAGAGGGAATGTAGCTTCATGCATCTCCCATATTTTTGTTGGTCCTCTCCACCTTTTGTGCAATACCCTTGCACTCATATTTATTTCAAGAATGAGAGACGGGTTAGTTGAAACTAACTTTGAATACTGACTTTGAATATTATGTCTCTGAGATTACTTTTAAAGAATAATTGCATGTTTGTGGAAAAGATAAATTGTTTTTGAGACTGAAGACATAATACAAGAAGTAATTTAAAATGGCATTTAGAGATATCTTTGAAGAACTGTGTCAGGATATTGAATCAATTATGTCAGCTATGTTGTGTTTTTCTGAGAACAGTTCTCAGAACAAGATATGCAGCAAAACTTACCCGAGGAAAACATGGATGAGAATCTAAATAAGAACTTTTCACCAGATATAAAGGAAAAACTGGATGAGAATTTGAAAATTAAGAAGGAAATAAAAATGATTATCCTAGAGGAGAGCAATTGGAATAATTTCTTTTTGTTGGAGTGACGAGAGATTGTTTAAAGTACTGAAGAAAGTTCCAACGAAGGTCAACTACCATCTGAATGGATTACAGAGAAAGATTGTTCTGTATAGAAGAAAAAAAGGAATATAAAATCAGTTTATTCAGCCAGGTATAAAATGGGACATGTTATTCTGGCTGGTTCTTTTTGGATTTGCTTTTCCATCTTAACTGGAAAAAAATATGGTACACTGAATTTGTTTATACTTAATATGGTGTTTAAGTTATTTCCTTTATTATTTTATGTATCTCAATTTCATAGTATGCAAGTTGGCTTAGTATTTAATTGTCTTTTTACTTAAAAGTAAGGAGGTTTGATCTTGTTTTCTTTAAAGGAGAAACTTTCTGTCTGTTATGCTAAATATCAGTTTTTTGTGGATTTGCTGATAATTTAGAGTTGAGATATGGAATGTTTATCAGAATGGGATAAGTTGTTATTTAGGGTAAAAATATTGTGTATTGGAGCTTGTCTTTTGTAAAGAAGAAATGGTCTCTTTTTATTATGTTAAACATTTCTTTTACTTTGTTTATACTGGGATATTGGGACTATTTTATGCCTTTTAAATGGGATTTTGTTTTATCTAAGAGTGGAGATGTGGAATGTTGAATTTTATATATGTTAACTAATGTTAATATTTTAGAGCTCTGATTGGACTTTTTGCTGACAATTGGATGGGAGAAGAGATTACTTATTTGATTTGCCTATTAAGAGATGGATTATGGGATGAACAGTTGTATATTGACTAAATAAGAAATGGTGAAGAGATTATGGAATTGTTTATACTTGTCATGATATGGGTGGAAAATCACTTTTTTGGGGGGTAGGATTTTTTTTTGTTTCATTTTCTTACAACTTTTTGTCTTCTTTTCACTTGTATTCTTTTATTGTTCTATCTAAAACTCTTAATAAAATTATTGGAAAAAAAGATATGAAACCAATAGTGGTCTTTCAGTTGTTGATAAGAAATAGGAAAATAAGGTAAATATAAATAGTATATATAGTTGTGTGTGTAGTATATATAGTCAAATTGTCAGCATTACTGGTGCTGCATTAATTGTTAATGCAGTTAATTAATGCAGCATTATTGGTGCTGCATTAATTAATTGCTGCATTAATTAATTGCACAATTACAACATTAATTGTGCTGCATTCTCCTACTAAATTTCTGAATGTTGGGTACCTATTAAAAACCTGTTGGGTGGGAGAGACTTTTCTGGAAATAAATATTTCTCCAGTGTCCATTCCCACCTCCCCCATCTTTTGCTGGCCAAGTTCTTTTTAACTGGGTATAGTAGGAATTGAACTTTGGACTTTCTGCATGCAAAAGAAGTAGTGTGCCACTAAAGTAGAGGAAAAAAAAATTCTAACTGGAACTTAATTCATGGAGGAAAAGAAATCTGCTAATAATTATTGGGCAAGTTAGAGGTAGGGAGATTCCACATTTAGGGGCAGTCTACCACTGAAATATCTGGAGAAACAAAAGATACATATGACATATCAATAATAACCCTTATTGAATTTTTATTTTGGTTTGGGCATTTGTGTACATTCTAGGTGCGCAAGGTTGACACTCCAAAGGATCAGATGGACAAAGAATGGGAGGAATTCCAGAAAGCCATGAGACAAATCAATACAGTAAGTTAGTGTTTCCTGTTTGAAATTAAAGCAAATGCAGAAATGAAGCTTGGCAGAAGTGACCTCGTGTTGCATTTGCTGACTGCTTTATCAATGAAATTTATTTTATTAAGTAACTGCAGTCTGCATTTTTTCTCTCTACAAATAATTAAGAGATGAGATTTAATTACAGATGAAATTATTTTAAAAGTTGTAAGAAGAAGTTTACCGTTTCCTTCTTTTAATTTTGCTAATATTTTGTGTACATAAAATGTAATACATTTTCTAAAGCTAGAATTGTTTAAAAAAATGTGGACATTTTCTCATTTGTTCTCTGGTTCAAGTATCTGTCAGGATTTCTTTATTTTTAAAATCTTAAGGAGTTGTCTCCAGCATCAGCTTTAAACAACTGTCTCTTTCATTAACAAGTAAAAATCCCAATATAGTTTCCTACAAGTGTACTCAGCAGCTTAACAGGGACTTACAATGATATGTAGGTAGATTATTGAGTCAAAGTAGAATCTTGATTTTCTGCAAAATTAATTTGAGTAGAGTGGAAGGAAAATTCTGCCATTCCCTCTCTTTCCTTCCACCCCCCATAATATATTGGATGCAACACTCAAAATATGGCACAAATCACCCTTTAGTACAGCCAGCATGGCTGTGTGTGTCTGTAGGGCTGGGATCAGTAGGGTATCCCAGAATTGTGCAAATAATGTCCCCCATCCCAGGCTCCCCATATATCCACAGCGTGGAAGCACGAACAAAAACAGGGCCCAGACACCTCAGTCTCATAGGAGGACAGAAGAGCAGCATCAACTGGCTCTATGCAAGAAGGACATGTGAATGATCACATCAGCCAGTCATCAATGCAGTTTTCATGGTAGGTGTGTAGACAAGGCAGGAATTGGATGGGATCTCCATATACAAATCCAGCATACAGATTAAACACGCCTTGATTTTCTTTTCTGATGGCTCTGGGCCCAGATCAAACATTCCTTTAGGAAGGTGCTGAATTAGTCCAATGGTTTGAGCTAACTGGATTTGCTCTTCTGTTAGTTGTGTGGCAAGATGTGCCTGGCTAGGCATGGGGTGATAACACTGGAATTGGAGTGTGATCCTGGTGAGGGGGGGCAATGCGGGGTGGTAGAGGTGGGTCTCCAGCCCAAGACTCACCTCACTGCCTGTAGAATTGTTGAGTAGCAACAGATCAGCTGTCTGCAAGGAGAGGCAGCCCCCCCCATCCCCGTTTACTCCAGGCTGCTGCCAGGTCCAGCCCAGGCAACCTCCATTCATCAGCCTGTGGCTTTACCCAAACCATTTGCATCTAATGTATAAATTTTCTGGTTTGTATCAGATTTAATATTCTACTTCATTATTATTTTATTGGGAGGTTTGTCTTACCAACTTTGTGGCAAAAATTTTAATTTTTTTTCTATTTTAGTTTTAAATAGTATACAATTATATAATATACTATACTACTCTCTACTCTCAGTCACTCATGCCCTGGTCACCTCTTGAATGGATTATTGTAGCACACTCTACGTGGGGCTGCCCTTGAAGAACATCTGGAAGCTGCAATTGGTGCAAAATGCAGCGGTGTGGGCAGTTATGTGTGCTCCTTGATCAGCACACATTACAGCTCTGCTCTGCAAGCTGCATTGGTTGCCAGTTTGCTTCCAGGTTCAATTCAAGGTGCTGGTAATGACCTTGAATGACATGGGGCTGGATTATTTGAGGAACCACCTCTCGCTGGTTATATTTACCTGTCTTTTCACATCCAGCAGAAGAAGCATGTTATAGGTCCCATCTAAGAATGTCCAGAATGTCATTTGATGGGACCTGGAAGGAGAGCCTTTTTTTGCCATGGCACCCACCTTTTGGAACATTATCCCCTCAGAGGTTAGATTGGCCCCGGCCCTACTAGCCTTTTGGAAGGCTCTGAAAACATGGTTTTGCCAGCATGCCTGGGGAACTGGCTGTGGTGCAGAGCTACTAGATGGCTATATTGATTGTGACCCATGACTTGTACTTTCCCGCTGATTACGTTTCATGGCTTTAATTTGGCTTTAATGGTTTTACATGTTTTTGCTTTTTAAATTGTATTTTGTTTACTCTTTTCTGTTGTTTTAATTGTGGGAGCTGCCCAGGTCACAAATATAAACATAAATTGAATACAAATATAAATTGAACAAATACTATATTGTATTATTTTATTGTTTTTCTTCTTTTTTCTTTTCTATACTGGTCACTGATTGTAATAAAGTATCCATATGTCTTGTCTGTCCATCCATCCATCCATAATATACCTTGCTACATGCTGGTCTTTATTTTATTTATGAATGGTTTTAAATTGATAAGTTGCTTGTAACTCTTTCTTTTATAGTGCCCATTACAAAGGAAATTCTGAAATATGTTGGCTTTTTAAATAAGTATTTTCCCACTGGCACTTGGGACATTCTCCTTTCTTTTGGGGGGTGGAGGGGGGATTCAGTGCTTGACCCCTTTTTTCTTTTTGCCATATCTCTTTCAAGGGTTAAGGTTTAGGAGGGAAGGTTTTGCTGCCAGGAGATCAATTCCAGATTTTTTAACTACAGTAAAAAGAAAGGAATCTTTACATTGGCATATTTCTCTATGGTCCAAGAAAGTCAGAAGAGAAGTATCCCCAGAGAGTTGACTGTAAAGCTGCTATATCCTTTTTAATTTTTTTTTCTGAGTTAGATTTCAGAAGCTATAGTGGCTGAAGAAGATGAAGAAGGGCGACTTGACCGTCAGATTGGAGAAATTGATGAGCAGATGTACGTAGCTCAAACTTTGTCTTAAAATGCTGCTTGCGAACAGTGTTTCCCAAAAAATACTTTAGTAACTTTTTTTTGTTGGAAGTAATGTTGTCTGATGTCGTATCATTTCTTTATCCAATTTCATTTAGATTTATAGATTTAAAAGAATAGTTCAGGGCAGTGTTACTGAATAATGTATGAAAAACTTAGTTTTAAAACATCCGTGTTTGTTTATGTGAAGGAATTACACACTCTCCTCCAAAAAGAGTGGAATTTTAAATTAGAACAAGCCAAAGCAACAGCATGCTGACAATCTGTTGACTCATTCCTCTAAATCATATTTAATTGTCAGGCAGATTGTAACTAATATGCTTTGCAGTTTTGGGGTCTTTTTATACCTAACACATTCATCACATAGATGCAGCAGAAAATAATTTTATAGATAAGTTTCTGGCATATACAGTCAGGTCCAGAAATATTGGGACATCGACACAATTCTAACATCTTTGGCTCTATACACCACCACAATGGATTTGGAATGAAACAAACACAATGTGCTTTAACTGCAGACTGTCAGCTTTAATTTGAGGGTATGTACATCCAACTCAGGTGAACGGTGTAGGAATTACAACAGTTTGCATATGTGCCTCCCACTTGAGTATGCTTTGGGTCATTGTCCATCTGTACTGTGAAGCGCCGTCCAATGAGTTCTGCAGCATTTGGAAGTATGCTTTGGGTCATTGTCCATCTGTACTGTGAAGCGCCGTCCAATGAGTTCTGCAGCATTTGGAAGTATGCTTTGGGTCATTGTCCATCTGTACTGTGAAGCGCCGTCCAATGAGTTCTGCAGCATTTGGAAGTATGCTTTGGGTCATTGTCCATCTGTACTGTGAAGCGCCGTCCAATGAGTTCTGCAGCATTTGGAAGTATGCTTTGGGTCATTGTCCATCTGTACTGTGAAGCGCCGTCCAATGAGTTCTGCAGCATTTGGAAGTATGCTTTGGGTCATTGTCCATCTGTACTGTGAAGCGCCGTCCAATGAGTTCTGCAGCATTTGGAAGTATGCTTTGGGTCATTGTCCATCTGTACTGTGAAGCGCCGTCCAATGAGTTCTGCAGCATTTGGAAGTATGCTTTGGGTCATTGTCCATCTGTACTGTGAAGCGCCGTCCAATGAGTTCTGCAGCATTTGGAAGTATGCTTTGGGTCATTGTCCATCTGTACTGTGAAGCGCCGTCCAATGAGTTCTGCAGCATTTGGAAGTATGCTTTGGGTCATTGTCCATCTGTACTGTGAAGCGCCGTCCAATGAGTTCTGCAGCATTTGGAAGTATGCTTTGGGTCATTGTCCATCTGTACTGTGAAGCGCCGTCCAATGAGTTCTGCAGCATTTGGAAAGATGTTAGAATTGTGTCGATGTCCCAATATTTCTGGACCTGACTGTATATTTGTATATCTAATCTGCAGTGATCAGATTAGCATTTAGTATTCTGCACTGTAAATCCTAATTTGTATAAAGTAGGTAGAAGTAATAATTAAGAGGATTTGGTGGCTTTAAGATTTTTGTCAATATAAATTATTTTGATTGGCTAAGTTTTGGAATAAGAGGCAACAAAAATGCAAGGAAGCTAACTTTCAAGTTTATTTTTCAGAGTATCTTCTTTCCATTTCTGACCAAAAAAAAAGTTCTAATTCATATATAAACACATTTGTTCTGCCATATGTAATCCAAACAATATATACCAACTCAGGTCTTTGCTTCAGTGTTGTCCTCTGATACTTTCTTCATAGATTAGACTGAACCTTAAAGCAAAGGTACAGAAAATTTCCCTTACAAATATACAATGTATAGAAGTACCAAAGGTACTTTGCATAATATTGCATAGTTTAGGGGTTTTCAAACTTTTTCAGGCTACAGAAAAAGTCTGTTAGTTAAAAAAAAAAAAACAACTTCCCAGAACGTCTGAGCAAGAGGAAAAGCTCTAGTGATTTTTTTTTTTTTTTTTTTT